CTCAGGTCAGAAGGTGCCTTTGCCTGCCAAGCCATCTGATGTCCCCAGGGTGTGTTTAGTATTAGCATTTTAAAACTACAATGAAACGCAGAAACTCTTTCTTGGGTTGCATGTGCTCTGCTACAGACAACAAACTCTCTAGCTAGGTAAGATGCATGTTTTATGCCTATTCTCTCTCACAGGGCTAGGTTTGAACCCAGGGCCTTGCACATGCAATATTTGAATCATTATTTTTAGTATAAAGGTTGAGGACTTCAATGTTGCACTTAATAGTTTAATTTTTCTGTATTATTATGCATATGCCTGCTCATCTATTTGCCCCATGGCACGCAGTGTTGTCAGAGGTCAGTGGATCCCTGGGATCAAAAGGTACACCTTGTTATGAGCCATCTAAACCTGGTTAATCATTGAGCCATCTCTCTATCCCCAAATCCATTTTTTTTCTTAACATTTGTTTATTTGTAGGTGGGTGGGTATATACAGCTCAATAACTTGTGGTTCACCGATGATACAACACTACTTGCTGCAAGTTCAAATGAGCTGCAGGCCATGGTAAATAGAGTGGTGGAAGTCAGAGAAAACCTTGGTATGAAAGTAAACATCGAGAAGACTGAGATACAACACATGGGAAGGGTGCACAGGATTTAAACACTGTAATAAAGAATCAGAACCTCAAGCAAACCGTCAGCTTTGTCTATCTGGGAGGAAACTCAGTTCAAAGGAGGGAACTATTTCAGGCATCAAGGATAAGGATAGTGAGGGTTGCATTCCAAGCACTAGGAAAGGTTTGGTCAGCAAGACACATAACGACAACAAAATTACAAATACATGAGACACTTGTCTTCAGCTGCCTTCTTTACCACTCTAAAACCTGAACAATGAAACGCTTCTTAGAACGGCAGCTGAATGTGTTTGAGATGACATGTCTCAGGAGGATTCTAGGTGTCACACGAAGAGTTAGGCTACAGGATGATGACATTAAGAAACATCTCCACCTACAGAAGAAAGTAAACTACAGGATATGGCATCGACGCTTGAGATACATGGGCCATGTTATGAGGATGAATGATGACAGAACCCCAAAGACAGAACCCTCCACTGTTTGGAGGAGTGCACGGGATAAGGCGAAGAGGAAGACCCAAAAACAATGGACAGACAGCATGAAGGAAGACTGTGGAACCGTGGGCATGACAATAACACAAGCACCTAGGACTGCCCAGGATAGGAACAACTAGAGAACCGTCATAAATGGGCTGCCCATGTATGCTTAGCATTGCCAGGCATTGATGATGGTGATGGTGATGGTGATGATGGTGATGGTGATGATGATGATGATGATGATGATAATGATGATGATGATGGATGGGTGGATATAAACAATCCATAGCAATTCTCTTCTTCCATCATGAGAGTCCTGGGGATCAAACTTAGACATCAGGCTTGGTGGCAGTGATTTTACCTACTGAGCCATCTCACCATGCCTAGTTCATATAACCATAGAAATGATTGTATATTGTATCAGATTAAGAAAATATATAAATTATAAAGAAATACAATTATCTATGAACACAGGATGTAATGCAAATAATATTTTTTTTTTTTTTTTGCTTTCTGTGTAACACCTGTCCTAGAACTTGCTCTGTAGAGTGGGCTGGCCTCACTTCACAGGGATCTGTCTGCCTCCTGACATACGCCACCATCACCCAATTATATTTTTCTTTTTGGTAGATTAAGTGAACTTGTATCTTCATTTTAAAAACAGATTTTATTTTATTTTTCCCTTAAATAAATGTAATAAAAAATAAGTGAATTAAATGAGAATGATGGTTCCACACAAAATAAAGCTCTTGTGAGAGTTGGACTTGTTAATTGTATAAAAGTTCTATAAGTATTTAATATTAAATAATTATGTAGCATCCTTATTGTATGTGCCCAAGTAATTCTTCACCACTTCTAGAATTTACTGAAAAAATACTAGGGCGGCTTCACAGCTAGATCTGTCGATGAGTAAAAACCACACCATCGACCATAAGAGAGGGTACTGAGAAAGAAGGATGCTCGATTCTAACCATATGTATTAGTTACGTTTCTGCTTCTGCGATAAAACACCATGACCAGCTTGTAGAAGAAAGCGTTTATTTTGGCTTTTGGTTCCAGAGGGAGGCAGGTGTGGCAAGAGGAGGAGGAAGCTGAGTGCTCCCATCTTGAATCCAAAGCACAAAGTAGAGAGAGCAAATTGCAATAACATAAAACCCTACCTCCTCAGACCCCCCTCCAATGACGTATTTCCTCCAGCAGGGCCATGCCACCTACACCTCAGCAAACATCACTGTCCCCCTAACTCGGACCAAATACTCAAAGACCAGAGACTATGGGCTCATTTCTTATTCAGACTACTGCACCCCGTTCTCTGATGCCTCCTTCCTCATACGCTCTTTTTCAAATACAGGAAGTCAAGATACAAGGTGAAAACAGACTTCATCAGCCCCCGTCCCCTCCCAGTCATAGTGGACACTTCAAGCAACAGCTGGGAACCACTGACTCAATAACAAAACAAAAATAAAGAAAAAAAA